TTAGATTCTTAGTAACAGTCAACAAATAATCGCTTTATTCACTCATAGGTTACTTACAAGTGCTTGATTAAATGATACATCATTTCTTGAGAGTGTACTAACATACCTACACACAGACATACCTACCACACATGCCATTCTTTAGAATGAATAAGAAAGGATAAGAATAGTAACGTAGCTAAGCCAACTCCTGCGACATGCGGGTGATATATAGCTTTTCAGGTGGCAGAGTTTTTGCTAAATGATAATAATTTATTCTCGGTAGAGATAACAGAGGAAGTTTCTACCTGTCTGGATAAAGTCGTCACATGATGTGATAAAGAGGATTTTTAAATTTTTTAAACTAATTTTCTCTAAATAAGTAGGGTAGATACTTAAATAAGAATATAAGCTTTGTTTCTACAAAAGAGGCATTAGGAGGAGGAACTAACACAGGTTTTTTTCTATTTGTTATTATACATAATGCTTTCTCTTTTTTTTAATGTTAATTGAGATATTCAGTAATAAACGCCCGTGACCAGCAGTGATCTGTTTTGACAGTTGAAATCGTTGAAATAGAAGTACCTAACGATCGCCCGATATACTTTGTTGTATGATTTTTTGACAACGTTTCATTCAACAATATCTGATCTGTTGTTGTGACATACCATATCTCCTACATTGTAGTAAGTATTTTCAATCTGTAAAATGATAAACGCAGCAAAGTTAGATTGAAAAGCGCTGGCGACGCAGTCCCGCTGCCAAATGGCAAGTACTCTTCACTATACTTCCAACGATAGAGCATTCCACATTTTTCAAGATGCTAGTCTCTTAAGAGCCTACTACTTAGGAAACTACTCTTTTCTCTTACATATTGGATTGCATGACAGTTTTTGGATAGTTTTCCGCATAAGTGAACAGAATTTCATTTCATTACCGTTAAAGGTAAATTTACTTATTACCTAGTTACTTCAAATAGCAAATAAAATTTAGTTGTTGTCCATCGATTCGATGAAGAAGAAGAAGAAGACTTCAATCTGATTCAGATGAATATGGCGAGAAGCACACATAAAACTCTAACGGTCTTATGTCTGACAGATGTCATCTTACGTCCGCGTCGCCTAGTCTCATCTGTGAAGGTCATCTGTGGCTATCTTTTCTATAACGTGGTATAGCGTGGTATAATAAAGTTTCCATTCAAATAAGTTTAGAAGCTGTAAGTGAAATGCCAAGTTTGCCAATATTGGCATCGCCGTTGTTGTCAAGTGTGGCGTGCCGTGCGGCGCTATGTGCCGACGTTCTTGAAGTTCACTTGCCACAATATTGAGCGAACAACGAGAATACCTATTCTCAGTGAGAACTACATAATATTTCATATTTTCAGGTGTACTTAAACAAATAGCTAGACACACACACACACACACACACACACACACACACACACACACATACATTTAGAAAACTCCTTATTTGGAAAACCAAATGCGTATATATATAACGCGTTACAATGACTTGTAGCATAGACCTTGTATCAATGACATATATCACGCGTATATCCCGTGCAGGGTAGGTAAAGCATAAACGGCTGTAAAAAACTTCCACTTAGACCACGTTTGTCAGAAGCTTGAGAATCATTCAGAACGTAATGATAAAATTAATGACAGTAACAAGATCTTTCTTTGATGGCATGTTTAACTATAAAATGAAATTAATAGAAATTGGGAAAGTTTTCCTTTACGGAACCATTTTGAATTATTACAGGTCACAGCCAACGGTAAATATTTGAAGTATAATTAAATATTTTATGGGTAATAAATTCAAATTAATGGGAAAACTAAAATAAAATATTTATTTTTAAGTTTTATGTATTTATATAGGGACCAACTTTTGAAGAACGAGCGTACCTTCGTCTTTACTTGTGCATGAACTAAATATTTGTCAAAATGCATGCATAATATTATGTGTGGCACATTAAATGTTTTTTTTCTGATACCTATTTATAGTTCATCATCATCATAAGTCAGCCCTTATCCTAAATCGGTTGGGGTCGGCGCAACATATTTTGTTAGTGTAGTAAAAAGAATCCAAATCAAGTAGTAAAAAGATTTGGCATGACCGGCCGCTTACCTGACGTCAACCTTCTTTGGGAATGCTATTGTAGGTGGTATTACCGCCACCACGCAATTGATCATAGCCGACAGATGTTCAGCCGAGGTCAAAAAATCTACGTCGCCTTTAACGAAAATCCCTGAATGGACTTGGGGTGGCAGTATTCTTAGCCGCTACCACACGGATACCACGTTAAAATGCAAACGTTAGGTTCACCAAAAGTCACATACGTACAACTTTAAATACTTCAAAGCAGTCTCTTGAGAAAGTTTTTTAGCCCGCTTTAGCCGGGGGGAGACTGGGGAAGGATGTGTTTCGTATCGGACGTATGTAATTCACTGAACTTTGTTTGTAGCGACCAGGGTTTGCACTTACCCCGGTCCCCTTAGTTGCAGCCAACATCTAACATGGCGTATTTAAATGGAACATCTTGTTCTTATTTATTATTAGTTTATTTGTGATTCCAGAGTGCTATATAGCTTAAAGTTCAAAACGGAGCAGGCGGTTGAAAAATTCTGACACCTGGGTTCATCGGGTCGTTGGACGATTCGGTGTCCCATTCGAAAAGAAGAAGAAGTTCAAAACAACCTATATCTTCGCAAACTCTTTTTTATATTCTATTGTTCGTTGATAACATACAAGTTATTTTCAAAAGACTTCTTTCACTCAAGTCGATGGACCGTCAAAGTTTTTCTACCGCATATAATATTTCATTACTTAACATGTAGATATTTGACAATTTGAAAAGATATTCACGTTGCATAGCGATCGTTATCGCTACGTCTAACAGATATTCTCAGGACCGTTTTACAATACGCCGCCCCCGCAGAATAAAATGACAATCGCGGTTATATTTTTTTCCGATTTTTACATATGTATTTGGAATCTACGATTCGTACGTGGCCGGCCTCGGAGAAGATGGCGTGACGATATAGAAAACTTCCTCCAGAACTGGCAATCGGAGGCCCAAGACCGTGATATGTGGCGCAAAAGAGGGGAGGCCTTTGCCCAGCAATGGGACACCGAACAGGCTACATAAAAAAAAACACCTTGTATATTATATTACCTACATTAGGTCTGGTAGTGACAGGTTGTCACTCTGTGGCCCAACATTGCAAAAGCAATATAACTTTTTATCGGAAAATACTATAAACATTTGAATAAACAGTTTGTAAATGACTGGTGTTTGTAGCTGGGGCGTAGTTAGCCGTAGTTAGTCGCAGTTGGGCGTAGTTGCGGGTTGTTATGCCGTAGTATCGATAGTTTTGAAAATACCTATTCAATCCATAAGCCCATCGATAATTCAAACTACTTATAAGTAGCAATGCTATCGAACAGGTGCAATACTATTGAAACTTGATAGAGATTTTAAAATACTGGTGCAACTACAAAGTTAGTAAAATCATCGATAGATGACGCTAAGCCAATGTCGGCGACGCGGACAATCGATATTAAATATTAAAAGTTACTAAAATAAATTATTAAACGTACAAGGATAATTCATATTTTATGTATTAAAACGACTGACCTTCTTGTTTTAAGACGAGGCTTATAGAGCTTGTTCCCGGTGGGCGCTACTACCGAGCGCGAGCGACCTGTCAGACTCCCGAGGATGATGCACTTAATGAACGAAACCTCAAGACTCCATTCTATAAACCTCGACTTTAAACAACAAGGTCAGCCGTTTTTATACCTACATAAAATATGATACTTTAATAGTACTGCTGCCTTTTGAACTATCGATACTAGTTTTTCGATAGTCTAATGATACCGTGAACTATCGATAGACTATCGACAATCCACTATTGCCAACTCTATTTGCGGGTAGTCGGGGCACGTCCTGAGTTGGGTCGTTACCGACTGACAGCTCACTGCGGAGTTCACAGTTCTGTTCTCGGAACTGTAATTGCTACGTTTATTGGGAAAATTTATTACGTTGGCAAACCTGGGAATAGGTACTAGTGGTCGTAATACCTACCAAATTATTTTGTAAACCGTTTATTGGATGAATATTTGAGATCAAAATATGATAAAATACTTTTTCTATATGTATATTGAAGGTATTTTTATAATGTTGGGTTGCGGCTTTGACAAAAGCAGCGGAAACTGTAAAAATGCCTAAAGTATGACCATTCTAATAGGCCATATTTGACATTTGTCAATCATATACTAGAACACATGAATTGTCAACAAAGAAAAAAAAACTTTATGTCATAGCATTAAGTTAATTTTGACAGCTGTCAAATAGGTATGTTCAAGTAATTAATCTAGGTACGGTTAACTATCCAAAAGCCGGTTCGAACGATTTTCAAAGTTTATTTGGACTTGTTTGAGTTTATTTAGCCCAAAAGGAAGATTCAGTCGCTGAAACGGCGGAAGCAGTGAGAAACAGGGATGCGACTTTAGAAACAAAAATGGATTTTAAAATAATTGACAACTTGAAGCAAGGAAAAATCATAATTTTTTCATATGATTTACTGAATTTAAGCAATATTTTTTATCATAACCGACAGAGGTAAAATAAACAAACATACTACCGAAACAAATTATATTACTAGGGACCTAAATTAGGTGACATGTAGGTATTATAATTGATATTACGCAAGACCTAATTAATTAAAATTGCATAATCGAATATTAAAAGCCGACTTTCTAAAAGAAATATTAATTATATTTTAAATCGATTATTTTTCGCATCCCTAGTAAAAAGTCAAGCAGTGGAATACAAGTCGGTAATTATGTGTAGCAACCAGTTTGCTACTCGCTTTGCTATTTGCACGGAGAGGAACTAAGATGGCGGGACGGAGAGGCAGTTTAGTTGAGAGTAAGTTCAGAAACGGAGATATTGAATACCAGATCATTAAAACACTTCCAGTGTTAGGTGTACAATTTAGGAAAACTTGCAAAATTTTCACCGCAGGCTGGATTTGAACCAGTAACCTTCGCCATATGCAGAGGCGACGCCACTACCAAGTGGGCTGCAGCGGCTCAAGCTCAAATTTTCCTAAACGGAGATATCTTTAGTTGCGCTTCGACAGCTGAAATGATAATGGCAGATCAAAATCAAAAAACATTTATTTTCTTTCAAAGTACCTATTCTAAACATGTTGCTGTTCCTCCTTTTAATCAAAAATATTACCTACCTGTACCAGCTGGAGAGTCCTGCTTTTCGTATCGTTAATTTAAACCAATTCGCTGTGCATCCGCTTCCAAACCGCTTGTGTGTTAAGAACCTTAGGTATATGTACTTTACTTACCTACATATTGAATAAGAAGTATTATTGGGTAGAGTTATATTTTCAACTAATATTTTTCATACTAACTGGGAGACCTACGTGGCACAATAACCAATGAAAGTTACATTTTTTTTTTGTTCCTGAAATACCCGTTTATGGTGTGTTTGAAGTAAATATTTTTGGCTGTCGTAAAAGAAAAGGTAAACCTAGTGAACAAACAAATACTCGAGTTTCACTAGCAATGTTTACCGTGATAAAGATAATATATTTTTAGCTTCACTGATCCGAACTCTATCCATCACTGAAGTCGTACCCCGTTCCTTTTTTATATCTAATGGTTTGTTTACCTACAACTATCATACGAATACTTTGTGTATAGTTGGGCAAATCGATACCTTCATTTATATTTTATGTTTGTTTTTATGGTTTCTACCATACTCTTCGATATTTTGCTGCATTGTCCTCCAGAAAAAAATATAAGCAACTCATCATTACACATACAAATTCTGAAAAAGTTCAAAGACCTTTACAGTAGTAGACTTGTCTGTCGCGTGTTGCATGCATTCTTGTGGGTAACAAAATGTATTTATTTTTAATTTTATTTTCATGTTTACACTAGTTTCACAGAATTTTACTATTGCAATTTCAAAGAGGTCTTTGCCCTCTAGGTTATTATAAAAAAAAAATATGCAAAGCTGCGAGTAAAAGCAAAAATATCATCATTGCACTATGACATCACGTGCTTCGTAACGCATGAGTTAGGAATATAATTATGAATTTCCACCTAATTTTCGCATTCTCCGGACGCAGCTAAAAGAGCGTGCCAACGGACGTTATGTGTGATTCTCGCTAATTAATTAGGTACCTTATTTGGGGTCAACGTGATATGTTTTGAACTCACCTACACAAAATCATGTAGCAAAATTTTAGATTAGTAATTTTTGTATGTTACCCAATTATAAATAAAAATTCATACATAAGCTTAGCACATACAAAACCGATAGGTACTACAAAAATAGGTACACGTTTCCGAAATTGGATACCCTACAATTCGATTCGCAAAAAAATACATTTTCACGGTGGAATTGAACCAAAGCTATTTTTATGGAAATTGAATCGGACTCTATTTTCGCGCTTCACAAAAAGTTTGCAATAAAAGTCTAAACGGTTTAAAAATGGCGTGGACCAAAAAGTCCTTTGAAATATGGATGGGGGTCTATTGAGGCGAGCGAGCGAGTGTGTTATTGAGTCCACCCAGATACCGATTGAATGGACTGTGATGATCACTATTGTTTAGAAGTGGACATGTAGATATTATGTTTTGTTTTTGTATCAAAAGCATGAAATATTTTCTACAAAAGTAAACGTAGAGCCATTAAATACTTAGTTGTCTCAAAAATCTAGGTAGGTATAGTCATAGGCATACCTAGGTGGCAAGCTTACGTCCAACCCAAGCGAACATGTTCCTAAGTCTTATGCGAGGAACACAAAATAGAGAGTTTACAGAAGGATCATTCGACCCTATTTAGGATTGTCACTTGTTACATAGCCAGGATTGCTTATGTCAAAAATCCCAAAGTACTCATATAAAAGAATATAAAAACAGCAAAATCTGATACAAGAACTTAATTTTCTGAGCCAATTTCAATCCAAAAATTATGAGTTCGTGACAACCATCTTCTTAGTTACCTTGAGTTCCTCTGAGATTCCAGTTACCGTCAGTAAGCGTCACCCAAGGTCCAAAATGTCTAAACCAGCTAATTTAGGAAGGTTATTGCTAACAGTTGTCGAATATTTAGTTTAGGCATCAATTATGCCCAAATCTATCCAACTGTAATTTGATTTCGAATAAATTATTTGCATAACAATGAAACTAAGCTGGAAATAATGATCTTCGTCTCTTTGTCCAATATTTGCCTATTCTGGCAGACTAACGACTAGTTCAACCCCCCTTTCCCCCCTGTCTAGACAAATCTGTAGACTAACACAAAATCTAAGCGAACTTTACGAGATCTGAATGTGCTCAGGCCGAATGCAAATAAAAGAAGACCAGCCATTTAAATTTTACGTCTTTTAATTTGGCAAAATAGTTGAGAATTGTGGTACCTATTCATTTGTTATAACTGGCAGATAAAGAACATAATTATCCCGAATTGGCAACATTATTGTTAAAAATTCGGGATATTGTGTTTTATATGCGCCAGTTATTCATACTTAACTAACATACTTGTTTATATGGTCAGGGAACTTGAATAACAAAGTAGGAGTAAGTAAGTTGCATAATTATGTTGAAGGTATGTTTACATACCTAGTTTTCAAAGGAAGTTATGAATATTTAAGAGTCAAGAACCCTCTTCATCAAAAAGCGTCTTTATCCACGCATTTTTTAGATAGTTAGCATTTTCTTTTACAAGTCTCTTTAACCACAACTTAGGGAAACAGCGAGCGGGGCGCCAACCATGCAATTTTAGATACTACCTACTTACCTCGTTGGCATTTACTTTTACAAGTGTCATTGTCATACATAACATTTTCATTGTCATACATAACATTGCATTTTTTTGATACTACTTACCTCGTTAGCATTTTCTTTTACATGTGTCTTTAACCAACTTCCAAAAAAGTAACTTCTTATAGCCCTATCACTCTCAACAGTAAAACTATAGAACAAGTCAACAGCTTCAGGTACCTAGGCAGCCTTATAATAAGCGACTCCAGATGTCCAGACAACTTCCAAAAAAGTAACTTCTTATAGCCCTATCACTCTCAACAGTAAAACTATAGAACAAGTCAACAGCTTCAGGTACCTAGGCAGCCTTATAACAAGCGACTCCAGATGTACTGCAGACATTATTACAAGGATTGCGATGGCTAAACAAGCTTTCAACAACAGGAAAAAATCTTTTTAAATCTAAAATATCGAAGAAAATTAGAAAACAGCTGATTAAGGTATACATTTGGAGCATAGCGAGTTACGGCAGTGAAACCTGGACTATGACTCAAAGGGATAGAGAGCGCCTCGAGGCTTTTGAAATGTGGTGCTGGCGTAGGATGGAGGGCATAAGCTGGACCGAAAAGAAGACGAATGAAGAAGTATTACAGCTAGTCAGAGAAAAAAGGACACTGTTAAGAACCATCGAAAACAGAAGAGGGAAAATGATAGGCCATTTGATACGACACGACGATTTCCTAAAAACCATAATTGAAGGAAAAGTAGATGGGAAAAGAGGCAGAGGAAGACCCCGACGAAACTATTTCCAACAAATTAAGGAAAAGGTCAACGTCGTGTCGTATAAAGATGTGAAGTCATTGGCTGAAAACCGAACTGAATGGCGTATACTCCACCGACAAGAGCCAGGCTCTTAAATAAAGAAGAAGTGTCTTTAACCATGCATTTTTTTAGATACTACCTACTTACCTTAGTAGCATTTTCTTTTACTTCACTGAATTTCTTTATTCAACTTATCGATTGAGTATTTATCTAGGATTGGAAATGTTTTTACTATACCCAAATCAAATGCGAAGACGCGGTGATTAAAACTCGTGTGTAGTACCTATCCATGTGGCACACAGTCCCTCCCTACTAACCAACTTCAGTCGCACAGATTTGTTTAATTAAATTACCCACCTATGACTTTAGGTAGGGTAGAACGTAATAGTAATATGACAGCAAAGATTTTTCGTCCTAGTTATCACATCTCTACTCTGCAGAGTATTAAGCGATATTTTTTCCCTCCAAAAGGCTTACTAGGTATACTTATCTGTTATTTCCTTATTTCCAGGCTAGTACGGGAGCCGAGCCACAGGTGGCGGTACTGTGCGAGTCCGGCGCGACCTACCACCCGCAGTACATGTCGGCAGCGGGCCGGTGGACGCCCGACCTCACCACCAAGCCGCACACCTGCCTCAAGGACAAGATGGAGATCCTCGACTACTGCAAGAAGGTGAGGAACCAGGAGACTGACTGACTAGTTACATGGACTGACTAGTTCCATGGGCTGAATAGTTACATGCACTGCATGACTAGTTACATGTCGGTAGCAGGTAGATAGACTCCCGACCTCACCACCAAGCCGCACACCTGCCTCAAGGACAAGATGGAGATCCTCGACTACTGCAAGAAGGTGAGAGGAACTTCTAAGATCCATGCGCCTCTTGGATTTCCTGGCATTCTCAAGAGATTACTTTCACTCAGCTATCAATCCAGGGGGCATATTTTTAAAGTCGGTACCAAGAATCATCTTGGTTTTGTGTTGGTAAAATGGTTTCAGTACTAACATTATACTTTTTACGAATTTTTCATGTCAAGAGTTATATATTTCTAAAGCTGAACCTGCTTTAGTCAGAAAATTGGGATGCCAAAGACTTATTCTAATTTCAGCAGATTACTTAGACAAATTATGCGGTTTGCAACATTCATGCCAAAGTCTGCTCTTTCAAAGAAGTCTGGAATTTGAGACCAAAGTAAACTTACACGTGTGGGCTTTTGGCTGAACAATTCTTCACATGAACTTCTAACAAGTCCACATACAGAAATTGCTAATTAGCAAACAGCAACCAACATCTGCTCATAAATGTGAATAAATTTCATTGAAAGAAACTGAATTTGAAGTATGAACAAAATACAAAACCAAGGGGTTCAAACCGAAACGTTTTAAACAAAGTTTTGAGCAGTCTTTGAATGTTTTTTCGAAATTCCAAATATAATAAGCAAAGGTTTCGTAAAATGGGTTTTATGGTTTGAATTCTGAA